ATCTCTCTCTCTCTCTCTCTCTCTCTCTCTCTCTTTCTTTCTCTCTATGGCATAGACTTATTTAATTTGCATTCTACAAATGATATAGTATAAACCATAATACATTGTACATGCAGTAAGTCAATGGGCGCGACAGGACAGCTGGCAGACTGACGGGCTGGCAAGTAACCATTGGTTTGTTGTTGCTGTTGTTATTGCTGTTGTTGTTGCTGTTGTTGTTGTGTGTTGTCTTTGTTGTTGTTATTGTGTTGTTTTGTTTTGTTTTGTTGTTGGCATTGTGTTGTCTTTGTTGTTTATGTTGTTGTTGTTTTTGACTGGCAAGGGATGAAAAAAAAGTAAATGTTCTATTCTTATAATATAACTTTGTGCGCATATTGATATCTAGCCTATTATATCTATATTTACTACATAAATAACGTAGAATTATAGGGGGCTCTCGTGGTCGAGGAATACGCTGTTCGCCTCCCTTTCAATAGGTCCCTGCAGGTTTGAACCCTGACAGCGACGGAAAATCTTCTTGACTTCTCTAAAATGTTCTCATTTCGCCACCTCTCCTGTCGTTCTCTATAACCTTGTTCTGTCGACTGCTTTCGACCTTTCTTTCTGCCCCCACCGTCTCACCTCCTTTGTACGCTCCTCTGAGCTCCTGGCTCTTTCTGCAGCCATTCTACTGTACTGTGCTACCCCTTGGCCCGTTCTTACTGTCTTTCAGTCACACCCCTGATCTTAGGGTACATAAGATCTAATAAATACTTAGCATTCTTGGATAAGGGCTAAAAATCTCGGATATCCCGTGTGCAAGTTGGGAACGTCAAAGATCCCTTGGTGGTCCTAAAATCGATAAGAGCAGGCTTCGTCCGCCAACCAGGCAAAATTCAAAATTGAGTCCTACCAAACTTCAAATGTTTAATGTGTCTCGCGAGCTCATATGACCTTATGCTGAGTTGTGAGCGCCGTAAAACACTTACCAAAACAAAACAAAAACCACCCACTCTCACACAAACACACACACACACACACACATACACACACACACGCACGCACACACACACATACATACATACATACATACATACATACATACATACATACATACATACATACATACATACATACATACATACATACATACATACATACATA